ATATATATATATATATATATATATATATATATATATATATATATTTAAATGTGCATTTTTTAACTAAAGGTTAATTCCATCAAGAAGTCGCGATGATAGATAAAAAAAACATAAATTATAGAGTGTGTTCACGACATATTATTAATGAATACAAATCAAAATGTCGAAAAATGTACTTGTCATAAAAATCTTTTGGTTTTTTCGAAAGAAAAATTAATACTACACGAAATCGTCAGGATAAAAGATTATCCATCAAGTTTAAAGCTTCAACTTCATATCACTATTTTTTGTCCTTTTGTGTTGTAGGCTTATCTTTCTTTTCTTCTTACTTTAACTTCATCAATGTCTAAAACCGTAATGGATTATTGCTTAATGAACGACTTTGAGGAATTTATATCCACACCAAGTGCTATGTGACGCTCTTGTTTTACCATTGATGCTTAGATATATATAAATTAAACCGAAAGAAATCATAGATATGCATGTGATAGCAATCCTGGTTTGAATGGTGAAGAAATTGAACTGATAGAGCATGAAAAATGTTAGTAACAGCTCTGGTAAAGCTATGTTCTTTACTATAACAGATCATAGATCCTTGAAAGAAACATAAGACTAGTTTGGTCCCCAACTTCTCATAACCTATAATTGCTATAAGTACAAAGTACATCAAGAATATTTACTACCTTTTAAACACCACCAACCTCTCAAGAAAATTGAAAAAGAAAACCAGAAGAGAAGAAGAGATTTCATGAAAACACACTTAACCTTATTGTTCAACCATGCCAAACCCTAAGAAAACCAGATGAAACAAATCTCATACACTTGAGATTGAAACTAGTTATAAATTTATTTACTGAAACCCTTTTCTTTTCTTCTTCTTCTTCTTCTTCTTCTGGAATAACCTTCTCCTTGCAGCAGTCTCTCTCTGAGCATTGAAGTAAACTGCAGCAACTGGTAGACCAAGGCCATTCTCTTCTGAGAATTTCCTTGTGTTGAAATGGTCTCTTGAAGAAGGAGCTCTAACTGTTTGTCTTCCTCTCTGCTTGAACAAGATGAACACATATCTGTGGATTCCTATTACTGGTTTTGGACTCTCATACCCCATAATCTCTTTTCCTGTAAGAATACTGTTACTTTAACAGTTCCCTTTGTTAACAAAAATGCCCTTTTTACAAGCATCTTTAAAAACGATATTCCTTTTTATTTCTGCAATTCAACTTGACAAATAATATTGCATATGGTGGTAAAGGTATATCTTGTATATAATAAACATTATCCTTAGATTAAGAAATACTGATAACAATAAGAATCAACATAGTGTGGGGTAAGAGAGTGACTAACCAAAAGAGACATCTGTGGTGCCAGGGATATCTGTAACCATCCTGGCAAATTCTCACTAAGTTAATAATGGAATTGAAAGTGCAAAGAACATAGAAATAAATACCATAGAGAGTTTGATTATACACAAACCAGTGAAGATGTTCCCTTAGACATGGATCACTAGGACTTGGAGCATCTGGGTCTGTCATGATCTAAATGTTCCATTTGATACATAAATACCATGAGAGTTAACTGGTACTGATAGAGACATATATATGATGAAACACATAGCTATAGGGTGAATGAGTGATTATTTTACCAAGGTATAAGCAGTTCTCATGTCATCACCACCAATCTCCACGCGTGGTTTGGCCATAACAGTAGAAGGCATTAACTCATGACCATTAGCAACTTCCTTGGTGGAATATGTCACATTCATTCTCACACTTGGACTGAAAATGTCAACCACTTCTCCTATCACTCTTCCCACAGAAAGTGGTTCCATGAGCCTAGACATGAAAATTGGAATGAAACTGCAGAGAGAAGGGAAACTTTGAGAAGAAGGGCATATGAGAAGTGAGATTTTGAAGGCATTTTATAGGTGCCAAAAGGGTTTATGAAGGGAAATAATAAACCATGAAATTGGCTTGGATTAGAAGCATAAAGAGAGATTCCATACAAGCTTCTCTATTTTGGGAAAGAACACACTGTTTAAGTAAGAAATTTGGTTCTACAAAATTGTCAAAGGAACATGCTCTAGATGATGAAAATGCTAAGTGATCGCTCCCAAAAGCATGATGTTGTATTGTGTATATCAGTTTTTTTGTCTGATAAACGGTAGAATCTACTATGTGTCCATAACGTATTGGCTGAAGCAGACTGAAGAATTTGTGCTATTTGTCCCAATACATTATTATATCTTTGGCGAATGAGAATTCAACTTTTTTGACAAGGTGCTCGATTACATGCACATGATTTATCATATCAATGAAAATGAAATCTTATCAAGTTTACCATTTGTGTTTTAAATTCAGCGGAGAAACAAAATCTATTCGGAAATTTATTCACGAATAAACCTCTAATTAATATACATTCAAGCAAATTCATTAAAGGAAATATTTTCATGTATACTTCTGAATTTTTATACCCGTTTGCAACATTTAATAAAAAAAGTATTTTTTTTTTAATTTTCTAGTTAATTCATTTTATATTAAAAAAAATATTATTTTGTGATATATATATATATATTATAGAAACAACGGATGGTCCAGCTTTGCCCAAATGTTCAAGAGAAAAATTATGTTAAGTCTAATCTAATTTATAACTTAAAGGAGTCAAAATATTTTGGTTAGCTTGATACTCAAACCGATATAAAAGATATTTTTTAATGAAATAATTTTAAATTTAAAAGAATATATAAAATACTTAATATTTAAAAGAAGAATATAATATTAATTTCAGTATAAAGATATAATGATTTGAATTATAAACCTTGATACTTACATATGTTTTGATAAAATATATTTTCTATTATTTTTTAATTATAATTATTATTTTTAAATGTAAGTTGATCCATAAGATTGTCCTTTAACCTAAATTTGTCTAAATGTTAAACAGAATAGGTCAACAAAGATCTACTTCAATTTAGGTCATTATTTGTTTGATTTAACATGACCTATTTTGAGGACCGTTCGTACTAGCTCATCGTATCAAACTTATTTTAACAACTTAATAGATATGCTTCTGAATTTACAATATTAACATGTTAATTTTCATATTATTACAGTATTGATATACGTGTAAATATATGAATACGATGACTATATATCAATACCATTAATTTAAAAGGTTTAATAAATTACTCTAAGAGCAAATTAAAAAAAATATTTATTAAATATTGAGTGTTAAAATTTAGAAGTTTATATCCAAATAAGAAAAAGTTTCAAGTATTGTAGGTAACAAAAATCCACGTACATATTTATGAGTTTGTCAATTATAAGTGGAAGTTGGTTTTGGCACCAAAATCACGTTTAGGTCATAATCGATTTTGGGTTTGGTAACTTGTTTCCATATTCAAAATTTACTGCGTGGTGTTTGTACAAGAAAAAGATTAACGTTTTCCATACTCTACAACACGTAGCTTCACGTTAACGTGACTCATAAGCAAACATCATGTAAAAGAAGAAATGGTTTTGAAAAAATATTGCAAAATATTATTTTGGTGAAAAAAATGCTCCAAATTTACGATTCTTTTTCGTTTGAAGAGAATAATTTTTCAAAATATAGAAAAGATAATATGGTGTTGAGTCTTTATTATTACCTATATATACACACACAAATGAATGTTGTCAAGAGAATAAAACTTAACCTAAAAGATAAATCTTATCTAAGGGATAAAAGACAAAGTAATCGCTCTCAACGCTTTCCCTCAAATTGTGTACGTGTTAAGTGCATGTAGCATATGCAAGTTATTCACATTGGAATCCACTTTCTTTCAATTGTGGAACTCTAGAAATTTTATCTACAATGAATGGAACCAAGCTTTGTCTTCCCACGTACTATCATAATGGATCGTACACGTATTAGTTGCCATTATTTTCTTCAACCAGCGTACTAGGTATTCATGACCTAAGTAAAATTCTGATCAAGACATTTGATCATCACTTCTACGGTTTTTCTTTAAATTGAAGACTCAAATCATATTTATACTGTTATGTCTAATTTAATAGTATAAGATTCTCTTATAAAATAAAAGTTCCATATACTTGTATCTTTTAATTTATATTTAATTGATATAGAATCTTTGACATATCTCTTATAACAAGTATATATTTTAAGGGTAAGAGTAGATATACGTAAATAAAAATAAACTTAACAAACAATAAATTTTCGCTTGAGATATAAACTTTAATATAATTATTTAACATAATTATGACATTATGTTACAAGTACACTTTAAACCTAATTTAATCCTACTGTGAGCTTGTAAGATAAAATTTCAACATATTTACATGTATTTTCAATTTTTGCACTTCCTCATTCATTCAATTTTTCTATTTTCTTAAAACTTTATCACTTTTCAGATCTTGTGAAATAATGAAAATGTCCTTTATCAGATAAGAAAAAAATGTATTCAAGGAAAAATATGATATATTAATCTGATGATAGTTGTTTACATATATAACAAATCCTAATAATACACAATTATATAATTATGATTAATATTAACATCATATAGATAAATAAGATAACAAGTAGTGTTTACAGTGATTAATTGACACTTGCATTAATTACAATATTAAAAGGTAATATTGGATGCATAAATCAATAATTATAGATGAGAGAGTCACCCTAAGTTTGTCTCTCAGTTGATTGGATCATGTATGAGTTAATGTTTTAGTGACACAATCAACAACTTAATCGACTGATGGAACATATATAGGCTATAACAATTTTGTTTTACAACACTTGACCTCTGATATAATGCATATTAATCTTAATGTGTGTCAGTGAGATTCTTCATCTTGACTAGATACATTCTTCCATCTTCATCTCTCTTGTTCTAATGCTGTGAAACTCAAATTTAGGATAAGTGATTTGAGACCTTGTGTCTGCATCAACTAGACTTTGAGCTTCATCCCAAAAATGTTTTAAGGTATCAAAATGCAATAACTATGCTGCTATTTCAATCTTCATTGCATTCATCAACCATCCAAAGAGTTGAGTCATGGGGCTACCAATCGTCAAAGGCAAGATTATGTTTTTTGCCTGATTATATATAAATTGTGAATTCTTCATAACACTCCTTTGTACCTAGCATATATCCATCAAGCCTGCAACATTTGATAATAAAGAACATTAGTGATTTCCATAGTGGATAATTGTGTCCCTCAAGCTTGACAGACACAATGGATGACATATCATTTCTATTATTTAAATCTACAATGAATGTCATGGTTTATATTGGATCAAGAGCTTCTAGACTTAAATGTTATGATACTAAGAAATAAATATATTGAAAGCATGAGAATGATGTATTAATATGATGGTAATAATGTACATATATAACAAATGCAACAGATGTCATAATTTATATTGGATTAAGAGCCTTGAATACTCAAGATTTGAGTATGCTCTAATACTAAAAATGAAATGTATTAAAAGTAAGAGGATGATATATTAATTAATGGTAATACATATATATATATATATATATATATATATATATATATATAAAATAAATGCTAACTCTACCTGATCTTATAATTATGACTAACATTAAGACCCCACTTGTAAAACCCCAAAAAATGGTATTTTAAAAGTGGTGATAGTTAAAAAAATAGTGAGACTCGATTATTTTAATATTAAATGCGTTATTTCTAAATAATTTTGTTATAAATAAGTTTCATTATTTTAAAACGTACCATCTCTCTAGAAACTCCTTTTCTAGTTCTCTACCTTCTCTCTAAGAGTTCAAACTCCTCGATCATCTATTTAACAATCAGGAGGTATCTAGGAGATCACGGCGGAGTAATCTCCACTTCTATCTGATCAGTTCTTTGTTTAGAGCAAGTAAGTTTCTATCCTTTTTCTTTTAATTGCGGTTTGTGATCATGCAAAGAAATATGTTTTTGCATGTAGCAAAAGTGTTTCTTTCTTTACTTTTAGTAAATTTGAGGTCCTAAGGTTTGATTTTTTGATCACCAATTGGTGAGTTGTAGGCTTTTCTAGAGTTCCTTACGGTGGAAGCAACGGTTGGGAGTTCTCAGAGTTGTAGAAGTTCATTTTAAGAAAAGGGAAGCTAGATTAAATGATGTTCATTTAATAAATTGTTCAAAATCTACTATTGAATGGGTATGATGTGTTGAATTGTATGAGTAAATTGATATGATACTCTTGGTGTGTTAAATTGCTTGAAATTGTTATGTAATGAAGTAGGAATCTATGAAATTTGTGAAGAATTGTTAGGTTGAATGTTACAATTGTTTTTTATAAGTGAAATGGTGGTTTTAATGTATTGTTGAAGTTATCAAATTGTTATAAGTCTTGAAGGTTTCAATTGTAAGAAATGGATAAATTTTTGGTCTAGAAAAGGAGGTTTGAGAAGTGTATTATTGATATGTTAATCTAATAATAAGTATTGTGGTTTTAGACAGTTTAATAGGTCTTTAATAATTTTTTGTTAAAGAAAATGAATTGATATGATGTTGGGAATGGAATGTTAGTCAAAACAATATGATTTTAAGGTCGTACATCCATGCACGATGGTTGAGAAAATTGGCCATGTTCTGTGACAAGCCAAAAAAAAAAATCATTGTCAAAACAGCAACACTCCATGCGACATAAGTAATAAACCTATTACTATTCAAGTCGAACATGGAAGGCAATTTGAACACTTCGGTTACTTTAGGTGAATTCCCAATTTCTCACCTATTAGTACACTTTTTTAGGTTTTACTTTAGAATAGTTTAAGACTAATTCTACTTAGTGTAGTTTAGTGTAGTTAGTGGAGTTTAGCCTAACTCATTCTTCAAAGTTTGTTTATGCTATTTTAGTTTAATTCAATTGGTGTGAAGTGATTTTCTTTAGTTCACTTTGGTGGAAGTTGATTGGTTAAAGTGATTTTCCTTTCAGCTATAAAATGGTCCCTATGTGGGCACATTCCTACACCTCTTACAAAGAGTGGTGATGGGTGTGAGGGTTTTGGGTTTTCTTCTTCGAAGTGGAAGAGAAGGTGGAATGAGTGA